TGCACACTTGGTGCATAGTAAATAAAAGGTTTTATCATAAACTTTTTAAAATAAATGTCATTGTTTCGAACTACAGGTTTTTATTCATCTTGATTATTTTTAGTCCCCGTTCGGACGAAGTCCGAAAACGGGGACTTATAATTCGGTCTCCGTTCGTCCGTGTGTCCGTGCATCCGTCCGGAGTCATATCTCAGAATCCCTTGGGCCGATTCCGTTCATTCTTTGCATGTGCCTAGTACTTTATGTGGGACATATGCACATGCAGTGGTTTAGCGATTCAATTCAAAATGGCCGACTGGCAGCCATCTTGTTTTTTGAAAATGTTGTATTTTGGACATGCTTTGTCAGTTGTCATTCAAACTTGGTACATAGATTATACATGTTAGGATACATGTCCATGACGATTTATTTTGCAATTGGATCAAAGATGGTTGACTGGCAGTTTTTGTTTTTTTATGCGGTATCTTGGATGTGCTCTGTTAGTTTTCATTCAAATTTGGCACATGCATGTACTTTATACATGTTAGGATGCATGTCCATGACCGTTTGACAGCCATCTGACTTTTTGGCCTTACGACTATATTTCCACAATTTATGTACCATTTGTATTTGGCACATACATCATACATATCAGTGTGTTTCATAATCAGATCAAAGATGGCTGAATAACGGCTGTTTTTATTTTGGCCATATTACTATGACACGAAAGACGTGTTTTGATGTAAATGTTGTATAGGCCACTTGGAACTCAAGTTTCAAAGACACGCTCACGACAACCCCTCCGCTTTAATATGACGAGCACAAAGAGAACTTAACAGGGACTGTGTCATTTTCAATGACTTGTTATTTATACAATTTATTCAAACGTTTACATTGCGAATTGATATTTCTGTAACTGACATCGCATAACGTATTGAGAAAAAATCTGCTCTGTCAAGATCAATATAGACTTACTACAAATGTCATCTCAATGCAATATATTGTTAATAGTCTGAAACCAGTTTGGAGTAACGCTCTAAATCTAATATATGGAGAATATGTTTGCCAAAATATGGCTCTCTCACTAGGTTACTCATAGCAGACAATACAAGGTATATGATAAAAAAATTATATTCTACTTGTTTTTTGAAGTGCATGTTGTCAAAACCAAGTAATTTTTATTGGGCCTAATATGTTTATTTACTTTGCTCAAAACTACCAGAAACCAATACAAAACCAATATCCTATATGTTAATTATCATATCAAGGTTGTAAAAATATAATTGATGTGTTTTCATATCTGAAAAGCGAAAGAAAATTTTTAAAAGAATCCTATGGCAAAACACTCGCATTAATTTATGATATCGTTAAAATGTATTTTTATTCACTTCACTCTTTCTAGTAATAATACTTTGCAATATGCACATTTAGCATTCTTGTTTGACCTTAGGTTGAAGGTCAGATTTGAACATACCTTTGTTGTTTGACCTTGGGTGTATCCAGTATGACACCTCTCTTTAACATTTGCTGGTTGAATTGGGTGTTAAACAACTGTACTATGATGAAATCTCTTTAGTTTTGGACCAGAATGGCAAAAAAACAACACTGTTTAAATACATCTCAAATGGAACAATTAAATTTGAATAGCAGGTAGAAAGTGTGTTAAAAGGTACAGTTGTTTACCAGTTCATCAACCTTGGTATGTTTGAAGAAGTGCATTGACAAGTAACAGATGATGTCATGCCAGTTACTGTTAATAATTGTATTTACTGATAATACTAATATAATATCTATTGGAAGGACTTCACATTTATTTTTAACATTTCCACAACAAAATAGATTTAATTTTATTCCTCTGTGCAGATAATACTTGCTTTCAGTGAGCACACCACAAGGAGGCTTGTAATTGTGTATTACTAATGGTTACCAAGGCAACCAGCTGTGTCTGTTGAAATCTCATTTTAATGTGACTCATAAATTCACATTGCCAGCTGGTTATCCTGTCATGTGACTTGCCTTGAATTGAAATTCAAGTCAAAATGTATGATTCATGTTGTTTTGATACTTCAGTGAAAATGAATCATGTGTTCTGGAAATTCAGAATGTATTTTTTTTCATAATTTCACTGCTTCCTATTTGTGTGGGACAATTTACTGTGTTCCCAAAATGAAATGTTTACTGTGCCTCACTGTCTTAAAAACCCGAAATGACATGTTCATTGTTTTAAAAACCCTGAATGAAATGTTCACTGTCTTAAAAACCCTAAATGAAAAGTTCACTGTCTTAAAAAAAGTAAAAATGAAATGTTTACTGTGCCTCACTGTCTTAAAAACCCTAAATGAAATGTTCACTGTCTTAAAAACCCCAAAAGAGATGGTCACTGTATTAAAAAATCCAAATGAAATGTTCACTGCCACAACATGCTGCTTTGCTCCACACTAACACATGTTATCTCACAAAAAAGTGATATGCATGTGAAGTTTATTTGAATTGATATTACAGTCAATGTCAGTGTATTTTGTTTTTTAAGCATGACACTCTTATATGACTAAACTCAGTTTTTTTTGCTTGTAGTCAAATCAGTGTTAAAATTCAAACTGTATTCAAAGCTTCAATATATACATTACTTATGCTAATTACTTTGGCTCCTTTTAGGTACATCGAGAAGTCCGAATAATGAAATTACTAGACCATCCAGATATAGGTAAGGAAATTGGCATGTTCAATAATTTATTTTCTATTTTTTTCCTCTTACAGTTGTACCGGGAGGTGAAAATAATGAAGGTATTAGACCATCCCAGTATAGGTGAGATTTTGTACCCATTGTGTTGCTAGCTGGGTTGCATACTAAAAACCACTGGCTTTGCATATGCCTCCAAACATTGGGTTAAAATCATATTGAGATGGACATATATTCCATTGGTTCTCTGGTGTGTCAAAAAATAACATAATCATAACTTCATGTTGTCTTCTTTCACCAGCATTGCCTGTCTCAAATTATAACAGCTTTTTGGACTTTTGGTCCCAAAATGTTCAAAAGAAATCTGACAAAAATTAATAACATAGAGGGTAACTAGCATAATGTGACATTATTGCTGGATCTAAATATGAGTTTACCAGAATCATTGATCTTCATCTAATGTAGGTGATATTTTACTTCTCATTAGAACCATCTAAGACACAGTGTCTTAAACAGTTATTGTTGTCCGGTGGTGTTCACTGTGTCATTTTGTTATAAGTTTTGTATCATTACTGGGATATGTCTGTCTTGTATATAACTGTGTTCAGGCAAACACACTTACATGCAGACGAGCATGCCCAAAACAATCCTTGTTTGATCAGTCGTTTCTTGGACCTGGACCATTCTGTGCACTCGCATTTACAAAGTTTGATCAGTTACCATTGTAAAAAACTAGAAATGCATTCTTGGCGTCCAGCTATGAAATGTTGTATCAAACATGTAACATGGCCACCTGGTCAGATTTTTATCGCGGTCTATTGAAGCATCAGCTCTTGATTAGATGAAATTACTGTAAACTGAAGTATATATGAACAAAATAATTCCTATACGAGGTATACAAGAAGAAATACAGTATGCGTGTTTTTCTGATAAGTATACTTCTGTTTCTAGTCAAATTTCTTGATTAAAGTGCCTGTGTTTTGAAGGACCAAAACAAAATTGTTATATCATTTCTACACTAAATCTTTATATTTTTTCTACAGAATAATTGTTTGCATATGTTTATTGTAAAACAAAGTTGAATACATTTTGAAATTGATACACATACATCTTATTGTTACAGACAGAAATCTCCTTAGGGTATGATTACCATCTTGTGATTTTTGCTTGAGCTGAGTGGATACATTTACAATCTAGTCTCTGTCTAAAAGTAACAAGGATAATCCCCCTTATTAGCTTAAAGGGGAACCACTCAATCCCATGGATTGCACCAAAGAATCATGGGACACTATTGGTTATGTTGTTTATAATGTTAATCTATCTTTTGTTATCCATTGTTATTTTAATCCAGAAAGTAAATTTGTTGTGAGATTAGGCTTAACTGGAAGGTGCCCCATTAAGAATTTAACACCTTTATTTTGGCATGTGCTGAAAACCCAACTGTAGTCAGTTATTTGATTTAATCTGTTTGCCATATGTACATAAACACTTGCTTCAGTTTGCAATGCATTTAATCTTCTATTCTGATTTAGGCCTCAGACTAGAATGAAAGATCTTAATTTGATTCAAAAATTGGCGTCACAAACAGTTGAAAAGTTTAAAGTCCCAACTAAAGAAATTTTTTGGTATTTCCATGTGATAACAAGAAATATACTTGGTAATGACAAATATCGAACAAGTTGAAAAAACAAACATAGGCGAATGCAATCACTGTACTGCAGAATCTGTTTTTAAGGTGTTGATTATTATTCAGTTGTATTAATGATGATAAAGTATTTTACATGTTCATGTAGACTTAATTTAGCAGATTTTACATAACAGCGAAAATAGGGAAATTAAAACCCAGTGAATAATTAATGCATTTACAGTATTCAGGAATTTTTGGATATTGAATTTAGAATGTAGTTGTTGAGTTTCATTGATGTTTAAGTTATTTGTGTGAATGTGAATTGTATTGATGGGTGGTATACATATCATGGTAGATTGTAACCAAATCTGTAAGGCCATATATTTTATTTTTATCATGGCTTGTGGGAATCATAAAATGTTAGCAAAATCAATCATTTTTGTTTTGAGGAAGACATTACAAAGACAAAGGAGCTATTTTGACTGTATGCTTACTTGTTTAGGGGTGTGTGCTTAAGTAAAGCACCCACTTTTGCAAAATGTCAGTTATGCTCTACATATGGCATTGTTTATTCCTAGTAATCTCATAAACAGTTCATTTCATTGTCCGACAATCATGCAGACCACTACAATTTGATGGCAGAAATACTAAAGTAAGCATAATAAAATAGGAACAAATAATAGATTTATGCAGAAAATTAAATTGTTCAAGTATTTATTCATTGTAATTGTATTTGTTCCCTCATAAATGTACTAATCTATTTGCTTAATAGTCGCAGTCTGAGTGTTCAATTTTTTTATTAGTTTTCTACACAAGTACAAAATATAGAAAAGCAAGCTGTTCAGTCAAATGTCACACTGATTTGCTGCATCTATATGCAGCACTCAATAAACCCAGTCTCTATTGTTAGCATGTGTAGAATGCCCATTCATTGCAGTGTAACCATAGAAACAACAATTTTTACTCAGCAATGTCTTTTCTTTTCTTGCAGTCAAATTATTTGAAGTAATTGAAACAGATAAAACTTTATACCTAGTTATAGAATATGCCAGTGGTGGGGAGGTGTTTGATTATTTGGTTGCGCATGGTAGAATGAAAGAAAAAGAAGCAAGGGCGAAATTTAGACAGGTAAGAACAGTGGTAATTTCTTATTGATTGTCATGTGTAATAACAGTACTGTTTACAGAGGATTAACCATGTTCAATGTCTTAAAAAATATCTTAAACTAATATATTATTGTTAGTTTGTTAATACATTGACCTTACATGACCTTTTTTTCATGTGAATCTAAAGGTTGTTAGACTGTCCTATCTTGAAATGAATCTAACTGCTAAACACCCATGTGAAGGCCATATATCCCAGCAACACTGTTTACATACTAATAACAGAACAAATATTAAAATTAAAAAGTAAATTATATTATTCCAAAACACAAGGAATGTGATTGGTTATAATATTGTAATATCATAAATTATATTCCAGCAAAGATGCAATAAGTCAGTGCTCAAAAAACAGCACATGAAATCTCAACCTAATATGAAAACATGCTGTTCTCTCTGAACCTTTGATTGTTGTTTATTTCAGATTGTGTCATCAGTTCAGTATTGTCATCAAAAACATGTAGTACACAGAGATTTAAAGGTGAGATTTCTTCTATAATAATTTTAAAAATATGCATTTTGGTGGTGTGCTTGTAACCAAGAATAATGCCGCCTTCAAAACTTGTTGAACACATTTTATTGTTGAATTAATAAGACATTGATTAAACCTTTGCATAATTTTCATTTTCTCATTATAGGCCGAAAATTTACTCTTAGATGGTGATATGAATATTAAAATTGCCGATTTTGGTTTTAGTAATGAGTTTACACCAGGTAGCAAACTGGATACATTTTGTGGGAGTCCGCCCTACGCAGCTCCAGAACTATTTCAGGGAAAGAAATACGATGGTCCTGAAGTGGATGTATGGAGTCTAGGGGTTATACTTTATACATTAGTTAGCGGTTCACTTCCATTTGATGGACAAAATTTAAAGGTTAGTGCTCACACATTACTATATTTTTATCAATTTGTATTTCTTTCAATTCATATGGCATGGATCGATGGATTTATGTTTTTGACACTTTATGGTTCTGCGTGACACTATTGATTACTTGATGTGTTGACAGAGATAAGGCCATGATCATTACCTCACAGTGCTCTATTACACATGTCATAATAACACTGACTATATTAGGATCATGTGCATCGTCCATGTATGTGTAACCTGTATCTTGGATATGCCGGGTGATTTCTATTTCAAGATTACCTATTGCCGACCTTTTTAATGTTAAAAATCAAGCATTACTGTTACTCCAGACCTGGATCTCAATCTTGCATGATATATAGTAGATACAATTTTAGTAACAGTTGTCCTAAGTAACTATTAAAATAGCTAGATGTTTCGAGCAATGGCTCTTTATCGATAGCGTAGAAGAAAATGTTTAAATGTATAGGTAGAACATAAGAACATAAGAATGGAATCACTAAACTATTCCACAATAGAACATGTATGTGTGCATCAGTGTTTATTTATTTACTACTTTTTGATCTTACATTGACACAATGGAACCATAAATTTTTCAGATTGAAAAAAAAATGGCAGTGGCAGGAAATTTTGATTCAACAAATGCTGTTCTTGAGCTATGTCTTTGACTGATTGCAATAAAACTTAGCAACTAAATTGTACATTATTTTACACTTAATATTTTGCTTTTATTTCAAGTTCCAATTCACAATGGGTATGCATTGTAGTGTTGTTTTACTATTACTGTTTTACTACTAACTTGACCTGTCATTACTTGGTGTGATCTTTGTATACATTAAGTGAGGTTATAACAGTTAACACAGCTAATCTCACATTCATTGCGACTATTGTGTATTGTTATAAGTGTATCTTGAATTTTCCTCTCTCAATAGGAATTGAGGGAGCGAGTACTGCGGGGCAGGTATCGTATCCCATTTTACATGTCTACAGATTGTGAGAATCTTCTCAAGAGATTTCTTGTATTAAATCCAGTCAAGAGAGCAAACTTAGAAGTAAGTATTCTGTGTTTATAGCATCATTGATTTTCAAGTCTGTCTCACTCCCGTCCCCTGCATTGACATATCATAATACATTTTCATACTAATTCACATTGTTGTCTTTCTTGCAGTCAATTATGAAAGACAAGTGGATGAACGTTGGCTATGAAGACGACGATCTTAAACCATACAAGGAGCCTGAATGTGATTTTAATGATATAAAAAGAATAGACATTATGTTAGGGATGGGTTATACAAAAAAACAAATTGAAGACTCGTTATCACAAAATAAATACGATGAAGTTATGGCAACATATTTACTTTTAGGTCGCCGGAAATCTGAGGTGCGTAGGGTAAGAATTTGTTCTGTGCATGTTGTGAGAAGTGCTTTTGCTTTGATGTTATTGAAATTATCTGAGCAAGTTGCCTTGCTGATGCAAAGCTAGGCATTTGCTTGATGGTTTCACTAAGGTTAGTCTTTTCTTTTGATTTCATTCTGCTTCGATCTACCTAATGGTGAAACACATCTGTCATTATTTCATTATCTCAAGATTTGCTGTCTTTTTCTACTTTAAATAGTGCCCGTTGATTGGCTTGTGCCATATTCTATATTTAATTCTGATTATGTATCTTCTTTCCATGCTCAGTAAAATAACATGCATGTTAAATTGAAACAATATACATCAGGGTGAAGATAATCAAATTCAGTTTTTTCTGTTTGGCTAATAATAACTACCATCGGGTGATAGTATTGATTAAGATTTGGGTGCAACTCTGAGCATGGTTAGAACTAATGGGCTTCTTTCCGCTATCCTGTCTGCATGTTAATTATAAATAATAATTCATTTTCATTGTGTGTAAATTATTCAATATAATTTGTTTGTTTTAATCATGTGTAATTTTACTGTTTCAGTTGGAGGGTGGTGACTCACAATCAGGCAGTAGTCTGTCACTGAAACACCGGCCCTCAAGTGAATTGTCAGCATCCAGTACCAGTCAGTCTCCCTCACACGGTAAGGTGCATCGCAGCATCTCGTCAAATCAGAAACACAGACGTTTTAGTCATGGAGGTGAAAGTGTGGGTCAGTGGGTATTCATTTTCAGTCGTCTATTTTTGTGGTCTGCATGCATATAAATTGGATTGAAAGCCCATGGGCAATTTTGGCTAAGATATCACTGACCCATCCATCTTAAACTACCTCGGATCAAACCATTGTCCATGACATAGTATAAGCTAAGCTATCTGCACATAGTATTTTATTGTCATGTCTAGCTTTCCGCATATTTTTCATAGTCATGTGTGTGGGGCTTGTTTTTTTGTATAGATATTTCTTACTTTTTTCCCGACTTAGCCCAGACTCGACCCAAGGGTTCTCAATCGGCCAGTCAACTCTTGGAAAACCCTCCTTTTTTCGTCTTTTACACGTTTTGATAATTAACTGATGTTTTTGTCTTTTTCTATGTTGCCCCCCATTGTCTTCCAAAGCAGTTTACAAACGAGGTAATCTTGTACTTTTATGCTCAGACAGTCACTTAAAAAAGCCAAAAGTTTCTTCATCTACTCGTAGTAATATGCTTGGCAGTGTTGGTGTTTATGGGGGTAAGGTATAAATATAACATTGTGTTGGCAGCTCTCTCTATTTTATTATCACAACCAACTCAACTATGCCCTACCAGCATCCAGCCAGACTTTAGGGTTTTTTCCTACTCATCTTTGCATGCTTGCTAACTGCATGAAACCATAACTTTTCACATCAATCTTTCCTTTTATAAGACATTCTTATTAGTTTATGCACTTATTTATTCTACAGTTGAGTGTAGACTGAGTAACTGGGAGAGTGTGAGAAGTGTAAAATATCGCACATTTGTCATTTATTTTTATGTTTTTCTATTATTTTCTTTATTAATTCATGAAAGCTTTGTTAAATATGTAAAAGTGTTAATAATTTGACTTTATTTGCTCTGTTGGAAGTACTGGTATGCTACGTGTATGTTGTAACCTGCATTTAAACAGCATACTTCATATTCTTGGTTATCGTGAAATCAATATCTTCTCTTTCTTGGATACATTAACCTTTGATGTACCCTCTCCCCCCTGAATCCTACATTCTAAAGTTCACCAAACCTGTCACAACATGTACACAATGAAATGCTGTACTTGTAAAAGAGCAAATAAGGTAAACGAAAAACATAACTGCCACAGGTGTTTCAAGAAACCTGTCTGAAATGAACATAAGAATGGTAAAAATCTTCAGTTTACAGAGGAGTTTGGTTTATACATGTATTTTATATAGGCATTCTGTGAAGAATGTGTTTGGTTTAGACAGGTTTCTGATTTAGACAAGGTCTGTTTTATTGTGCATTCATTTATATTTCTTCAATTTATATTTTACTATCTATTAATAATGGCAGTCATAAGACTTGACTTCTCACTGTTTATTTGTTCAACCTTTTTATTGTCAAAATCAACTTTTGTTTCAAATGAAATGCGTAACATTTTCAATAATTTGTTTCTAACATTTTGATCAAGAAATGTAGGAAAATAATATATTTATTTGCTACAAAATTAAAAAATTGTAGAATAAAAATCATAAAATTTTGATGGCAGAAGTGATGGCATTAAAAGGGTTAATAATTTGAGATTACTATAGAGAGACAGATATGCAATATTAGAACCTGAGTGTTCTGTGTAAGTTAAAACCATATGTCAAAAAAAGAAATGGATGGTGCCAAGCTGTCTTTCTACAGTTATTTGAGTTAATACTAAACTACCGTGCTGTAAAGGAAACATATGAAGGCAAAAGAAGATTTGCTTCCTATATTGTTGTTTTTTTTACTTTTGGTTCCTCCTGAACCATCTTTTAGCATCATGAAACCTTATAAAAACCATCTTATAGTAAACTAATATGTTTATGAAAGGATATATTTGTCCTTGTTCAGGTATCTGTTGTATGGTTCTCATCATGTTATTTGGTGAATGATTATAATATTTAGCTAGCTCTATATGTGTGTATTCACTCTTTCTGTTGTTTGTTTATTACTAGGTTCCCATACGCCTAGTTCCAGTTCATCCACCAGCAGCTACAGTAAGCGTTCCACAGTAGATAATGGTCTTAAAGAAAATATAACGACGCCAACTAGTCGGCATAGATCTAGTGGCCATGGTGCAGTTGGAGGTAGTCACAGAGAGACGATAGGAACTGCCAGCAATCCCAATAAATCTGAAATTCCATCTAGGAAAAAATCTTCCACTCCCAAGGTAATTATTCAATTTATTCATTTTATGCTGTGCTTGTAGTGTAAACCAAGTTGGGTTCATCTTGTCTATTTTTACCTCTATGCACGATGCACACTTTGGCAAATAATTACTAAATTATTATTATTACAGGTATTAATTATTTCTCTACATAACATTGAAATTCCAAAATCTTTTCACTGAAATGTATTCATTGGGGGGGGGGGGGGGGGGTAATTTGATGACAATTCTTCCAAGAATTTATTTATTCATTAAAATTGTTTTGCTTGCTGCACATCTGACAAACAAATGTTGTTTTCCTGCATGATGTGACTGAGCATGGGGTGATGTACTTATTAAGAGTTACAACTTCTCTACACCACATATTGTAATAGTTTCCAGTTGCACATAAAATGAAGGCATCACATTTTGATGTTTGTTTGTTTTTTCAATTTGTTTCTCATCGCATATTGTAGGAAAAATTTAATTTACCTTTTATGGGAAATGCTCGCCTTGACCTCAGTTTTAATCTGTGTCCATCAGTGGTAGTCAGTAAACAACACTTGTGGTGGTGGTGGTGGCTAAATACTGGAGAATTTGGTAATTCTCCAAGTAATTATACTTGCCAGTGACATTGGTTGCTCTATCAGCATATGGCCAATAATATCCCTGTGAGAAAAACTGACTTATTTTGTTTCACGTTGAGCGCATCCTTATTTAGTTTATGACTTCCTTGCATATTCATAGTATTAAACTTGTCATTGTAAATCATTGGTCTTGTGTGTACATTCTTGTGCTGCTTTGATGCTGTACATATAGGAGATATGCAATTTCAGTTGGTAGATAGGCTGGTATTCATAACCATCACAAACTTGCCATTATTTGGCTTCATACACAATACAATTGAGAGATACTTGCTTGTTGCAAAACTGTTTGCACTCATTATTAACAGATTTTTTTTTTTTGTCTTATTCTGATACTGCATTAACATAACTACTTTAATGTATAAAATCACTTGTTTTATTTTATATTGCTTGTTATAATTTGTCAAACGTATCTGTAACACAGCTATATGTATGCTTATTCACCAATAACAAATGTTTACTAACAGGATGTGATCTGCATGAAATAACCCTTGCATTGCATTTCTTTATTGATTTTTTTTTTTCATCTTTCTCTTGTATGTTTCACCCAACCTGACCAATATTATGCCGCTCCTGCAGGTTTCTAAAAAGGTATTTATCTTCCCATCATGCCCTATTCTTGCTGTCCCTGCCTCTATCGTGTTGGCTTCAGTGTGAATTTAGAATTAAACTAAAAACCATTGCATTGAATTATAATAAATATGTGTCCGCTATAAACCTTAACTGATAAATTTAGCACAAATCTTTATACTCTCAGCTTTGGTGTTAATTTATCTCTTGTAAACAAAAGCTATCCTAAGCTAAAGATGTTGATATATCTGCTATTGTTTGGTGTGCATTTATTTCATTATGCCTAATGTTGTAAATTCCATCTTTGTTTCTCACAGAATAGTGTTTTACCACCTGGAATGACCAGGAGAAACACGTACGTTTATGGGGAAAGGGCACTTACACCGGGTGAAAAGACCAATGGACAAAGTGAAGGGTGAGTTGCATTCATGTGTGATGACCATTGAGGTGGGGGGAGGGGGGTTTATCTGCAAGACTATTTTCTGCACACTTGTTGCATCTTCGTTTACATTGAGTATTGCAGTGTGACCTTGATTGCCTATTTAATGAGTTGTATCAATGTGACAGTGAGCACATTGAAAAATAATTTTTGATATGTAATTTCTTAGCTAATTATGTATTTATTATGCAAAGCACACAACATG